AATTTGATTTTTATTATTAAATATTATTCTTTAAACGCGAATCTCCACACATATTAACGCAAATAAAATATATATATATATATATATTATTATTCAATTCCTAGATAAAATCTTCTTCAAATTATCTTACATTTCAGGTGTGTGTTACATATATTTATTTGAAACCGTTCGAATTTCTCGTGCTTATTAGACGAAACTACGTCGTTCTTCTCTCGTTAACGAAGTAACCATTATCGTTATGGACGGTATTTTTGAGTGTTGCGTAATCAATTAAAATTAACAATAGGCTGGTATCAGGATTATATGCAACCTTATATATTGTATATATATATATACTATACCTTATATATACATATATATCCATATAAATACATAGATGCATATCTGTGTGTATATGTATGGAATGTAATGTGGCATCGTGTAGATAATATCAGTGAAACGATCGAGCCCATTTAACCCACCCACCCCCCTCCTCTTTTGTGGGGAGGGTTGGGAAAATAAGCCGACCTGTAATAGCTCTACGCCGATCACTATCGCGATCGAGAAAGTTCAATATTTGTGGCAGTTACCCTTATCGGTTATAAGGATATAATAATGGTGAAACTCACGGACATTATTATCAACTGTGGACCATGACTGTGGTGTATTATTCCATAGGTATTTTGATTCTCTCTCTTCGTTTCTATATACCCTTCCCCTCCTCTCTCTTTCTCTCTCTCTCTCCTTATCTCATTTCAAAATTATATACTTTTACACAAGGATTATATATAGTTTAGAATTACGAAAGAAATTATTTTCGATTTATTATTTATCCTTATGTTGAATTATATTAGTTAATTTTGTTAATATTAATTTCAATGAGTACATCTTATGAAGAATACTATTTGTTTGATTAGAATGTATATTTTATGAAAAAAAAAAGAAAAAATGAGATTTTTTATATTTATATAATATATGCATATTATTAATTAAAATTATTGTTCATCTTATATAATTCTCGAAAAAGTTGAACTTTTTTTCCCCCATGAATATGTCTATAAACTACACAGTAATATATTTTAATAATAATCATTTTAAATTTCTTTTTCTCTCGTTTTATTTTCTTATCTCGGTATTATTATGCGGACGCAAGGATTGGTTGGGAAAAGGATAGAAATTATTTTCAATTTTTTTCTTTGATAATACAATAGTTTGGAATTTTTTATTACTGTTAAAAATTATTAAAAATAAATTCTGTGTGAAAGATATTTATTATAATATTTATATAATAAAAGTGTATTACATATGAAATAATTAGGATATTTAATGTGATCCGTATTTTGGAGAATTATCTTAAAAAAAAATACTATTTAATATATTTTTCTTTTTTTTTTTTTTTTTCGAATAAGTACAAATCTCTTATATATTCTTTATTTGTTACATAAATATAAGGTCTAGAAAATCGTAGCACGTTTTCCATAGATAACGATTTAGTTCTAGCTCGAGGTAGCATCTTGGGCTAATCTAACGTAACCTCTAAGCCAATTTACAATTTTTAAACCGTGAAATTGAGTTTTACTTTAGATAAGAATCTTCTGTTTGCTCGATAGCTGCGTATATATATATGTATATATGTATGCACCAAGAGGGAAACGTAATTTAAAGGATTTGAAAACGATGAAATGAAAAATAAATGGAAAAAAAGAGAAAGTGAAAAAAAATGCATAATTTAATATTTTTGTTAAATGTAAATTAGAAAATAAAAGTGATATTTGATTAATCTTCGAATGTTCTCAATTAGTAAATTAACACGAAATCAATTACTATTTATTATAAATTACTGTTAATTATTTATTTTTATAAAAGTTTTTTAAATTACAATTTTCACTACGAATCTAAACGCGTTTTCCAAGTAATATTTTTTGTTTTTAATAATTTAACGATTTTGTAATAATCATCGAAAGAACTTTCGATTGATTTAAGAATTTCTGATTCAATTGGTAGCATATATATTTTTTTGAAAAATAATGAAAAGTTCAACAAGAGAAATAAGTATTATTTACTCATGAGTTAATTTTAATGTTTCCAATCAGAATCAATTGCAAACGAAAGTGTAATTCGCTATTCAAGGGCATGGTGCTTGGATTCTACTGGGGCAGGACGCAAGGAAGAGGTCAGGGTCGTATTCCAGAGGTCAGTCATAATTATATATCCTTATAGTAGTAATTCGAACGATAGGTGAGCTCTTTGAAATATCCTACAGAGAATAAATTAAATGCGTAATTAAACTCTTTCTACGAATTTTTTCCTTTTATCACATATTTTGTTTTTTTTCTTCTCTTTTCTTTTTTTCTTTTTTTTCACAAATTTGATCATTTCAAAATTTTATTTCGACGAATTTCATTCAGTTTCTCTATTATTTTTATCATGATTTCGACATTACAAATAAAAAAAAGAGATTTTTATAAATTTGAAATACGTACGTTTTCATTTTCAATTTATTTTAATTCGGAATACGTTCGATCTATTTTTTCTTTTTAATTTTTTTCAATTCGAAATACATTCGCCATATTTTTCAATTTTTTTGATTTACTTTGTGTGTTATATATTTAAATCTATATATATATGTATCATCGTTATGGAAAAAAATAATATTAAGACATGTATTTTATCTGTATATAGAAAAAGAGATTTATAGTAAAAGGATGACGTCAAAAAAAGAAATTTTTATATATCTCAAGAGACGTCATATTTTTTTAAGAAAAGAAGGAAAGAGAAAACTAGAAAAGAGAAAAAAGTAGAAAAGAGAAAAAAGAGAATGCAATACGAATATATATTTTTATTTTTAGTTCCATAAAAAGAACTATTTACTACGTTCCATATAAGTAGTCACGCGTATAAGTTTCACAGATTTCATTAAACTCTTTCTACAAATTCTTGAAAAAGGAAAGAGATTTATATATATATAGAAAGAGAGAGAGAGAGAGAGAGAGAAGAAAAGAAGAGAAAGAGGATTTTATTCTAAAAATATATATTCATATTTTTTCTTTTATAACTAAATTACGATAAATAATTTATATCTTTATAAACGTACGCGTGCACGCGTACGCATTTTCGAGAAATGTGTATTTTTTTTTTTTTTACTTATCAACGAGAAGAGAAACAACATGCGTGGGATGATGAAAGGGCTTTAATTGAAGAAGGGTCGAATTTTAAAGCGTAATCCGATTTTAATACTAAAATCTCGATCGAGAGATAATTTTTGAGAATGTTTTGGAAAACAGAAAAACAAAATAAATTTTTAAAAATATATATATAATATATATTTTGAAAATTAATTTAGTTATTTGAATTTAACGCTAGGCTCCTTCATTGGATTACTGATTGTCGTTTAATTACAGCACAGATTCTAACAATTCAATTATAATCCGTACGTAAATATTATACGAGTTAGCGTAGGGTTGCGTCAGGATGGCACAAAGTACAGTGTGTAGCAAGTATTCAAATCTTTATTTATTTATCTTCTCATTTGTACGGTATAAACATTTTCATTTATCCCTAAATATATATATTCAGATTTTTTATTTATTAATATTTGTTGGAAGGGATTCAAAAGGTATCTTCTCCCATCGTACAAATTTACAATTACATAAACATACGTTTTTCAATCTTCCTATTTTTTTCCTGATAACTACATTCTCTCTCTCTCTCTCTCTCTCGTTATATTATTAAATAAAAAAAATACTAAAAAAAAACATGCACATATGTAGAAACGATTTGGGACTGACAAGAAAGAGAGAAAGAGAGAGAAAAGAAGAATACATTTGCGGTTATATATGTGTGTGTGTATACTAAAAGCTATCGATTAAATCTCACATATGTACATTTATTTCCTATGTGTATTTGAAACTTATCTTTAGATTTATCTATATATATATACCATATATATACGAGTGTATTTGTGCGCTTATATATATTGCAAAATTGAAAGATTAAATTTCTCTGTGTAAATGCATTCGAAATATATGTATACATAGGAAATTTCACGTCAAATCGAACACTTTTGACCCCGAGCCCCCCTTGCCCATTCTATTTATTTTTCCAAAAAGTACATTTAAAAACAAAACATGTGTAAAAAAAGAGGTGTAGAAAATGATTAAAAGTTTCAGTCAAATCGAAAGATGTCGGGGTCAAAAATGATCGATTTGATGTTGAATGCCCCATATATATATATATACACATATATACACATGTATATTGTATATATAATATATATATATGTAACGTTATTCGCGTAAACTGAATAGCTATCATCAAATGTATATCCGTAAGATAAATACGCAATACGCATGGTACATAAATTAAGACAGAGATAGACAGATCAATAGATTGATAGATAGATAGAAAAAAAAACAGAAACAGATAGTATGTATTCGTGTGTGTGAGAAAGGAAATACACGATATACATACATAACGAATATACGTGATAGGTAATCAATTTTACACTCGATTAATTTGATCTCGAATTATCAACTACTACTTTCGAATTCAGCATATTTATTAACAAATAAAATGAGAGAAATGTGTAATATATTTAGGATATATAATAAAAAAAGAGAAAGAAATAAAAAAATAAATAAAATCAAATAGAGAGTGACGCGAGTTAGGATAGGTAACGATAGTAAATGAAGAGAGGAGAGAAAGGCTTATTATTATTTACTCTTTGAAATAAATATATTTCTAAAATAAACTCTCTCGTGTGAAAGGGTTTCATCACGCATGTATTCATAAGAAAAATAAACATAGAGTTGATAAAAAGAGAGAGAGAGAGAGAGAGAGAGAGAGAGAGAGAGAGAGACAAAGAGACAGAGAATATATACACGTGTATTATTATATACAATACGTGTACACAATTTTACACTCGTCTCATCAACGAGCTGTGCAGTCTATTATTATTATTAATAAAAAAAAAAAAATTATATATAAAAAAAGGAAATATTCAAAAGATAGCGATAGCCGTTACACACACAACGAAATCAAAAAATAAGAATTAAGTTTATTATCGAGTAGGATGGGGAATAAAAAAAAAATATATATCCTTTCTCTGGATATATTTCATTTCAAGGATTCAAATCTCACGTTTAATAGGATTGAATATATTCTTTTTTAGTCTTTCCTTTTTTTTTTTTTTTTTTCTTTTATCCCCACAAAGACGTACATCCGGTCGACTATCGGTCATATTTCTATTTTCGTATTTCATCCAGATTTCTCTCTCTCTCTCTCTCTCTCTCTTTCTTCTTTAAAAAAAAAAAAAAAAATAAAATGAATTATTATTTTCCGTTTTTGTTCTCATTTTTATCTCATTCGGAGGGTATCAAAAGGGATCGTATTTACAGGTGGGATATGTCCTTCGTTTAATTTCATCTTTCTCTTTTTCTCTCTTTATCTCTCTCTCTCCCTCTCCCTCACCCTTTCGTACACCCCTCTTTAACTTGGATAGAGTTACAGATCTTCCGCCACGGGATAAAACTGAATAATTTTCTACTAATCCGTTACTATACCTACTCCCTTTTCGTGAAACTTTCCGAAGTTTGTAAATGTGGTGGTGGTGGTAGCAGTACTCTGGTTGTGTAGTTATGGTGTAGTAGTGGTGATGGTGCTAGCGGAGATGGTAAGAACTGGATGGGGTTAGGGATGAGATTGTTAATAAGTTTTCACCCCTCAAGGGATGATGTTCCTCAGCTAGCCGACTATTATCGATTTTCCACGATTACAACGAACATTCGACATAAATCACTTGTTCCTTTTCTTTTTCTTTTTTTTTTCTTTCTCCTCCTCCTAACCAGCCCCCCTCCCCCCCCCGCCGCAACCCGGCCATTTCTTTTCCCTTCGACCTACCTTTTTCTTTTTTTTTTTTTATTTCTTTCTTGGTTTTAATTTTTGTTTTTCTTTTGCACCTTTCTAGCTTTGCCTTTCTCACCATTCTCGTGTTATGTTCTTTTTATATTGTTCTTTCTCTCTTTCTCTCTCTCTCTTTCTCCCTTTTCTTTTTTCTTTTAATTTTTTATTGTTTTTTTTTTTATTTTGTCGCGTTATTTTTCTTTCATTCGTCGCTTTGTTTGTCGAACACCACAAAGTTGTACCTCATTAAAATCATTGGATAGACATTTTTTCTTTTTCCTTTTCTTTTTGTTTTTTTTTTTATTTTTGTTTCTTTTATTATTCTTCGCGAAATCCTCCAAGTGAATACCCAGAACGAGAGAGAATTTTACGTAGAATTCGTCCAATTAAAGATTTCGCATTCGTTTGTTAGTTTTTTCTTTCCTTTCCTTTTTTTTGGGTTTGTTTCTTAAAAGAAATAACAACGAAGGATAGAATGTACAATTATATATATATATAGTTATTCATACATATGCATAAACTCGACTAAAAGTTTTATAAGCGCGAGTCAAAAGCTTTCCAGTTTATATTTTACAAATTTATTATATAATTCTATTATACTTCCTTGACACATCTCAAGCTTCTAATTAGGCTTATAAAATATAATAATTTTCTTTAATCTGATACTGAAAATGATTTTTTATTCTCGCATAATTCTGCGTTTACGTTATCGTATATTACGGTATATAAATGATTAATTCGGAACGAAAAAAATAAGAAATCAAATATAACATCGGTAGTAATATTTATAATTAAAATAAAAAATATAATTAATTGAGAGAGAGAGAGAGAAAAAAATTCAATGAAATAAAATAGAATCGTCGCACAAGCCGCATAACTAACCGTACCGAAGATAATTAATGCTAAACAAAACAAAACAAAAATTAAAAATAATATTTTCCAATCAAATAAATTCGAAATAAATTAGACTCCATTAGATAAGAGTTTATTTTGAGTAGAAAAATAAGGAAATTAATTAAGAGAATGGTTTCGTCAATGTTATAAACGAATCGTAAGATAAGTTTACATTGGGGGGGGGGGGAAGTATTTTGTTAAATTCTCTTCGAGTTCTTCAGAAGATCCTTGACAATCATAACACACACACATTTGCTCATTCACACAAACTCACATACGAATATACATACATACACTTTCTACGTTCATCATCAACTCTTTATTCATTATTCTTCTCATTCCCATTCCCTTTCTTTTTCTCAACAAAGAGATAGGGAATGATAACTATGCGAATGAGT